CTCATGGCCTAGAAATTCTCACATTAATCGGAGAAAAAGAAAAGACAGAGTCCATATAGAAATACAATTTAGAAATAGCTTAAATTCGGAATTAAAAAAATAAGGAATATTAGAAGACGAGACTGGAGTCCATATAGAAATACAATTAGGAAATAACTGAAATTCGGAATTAAAAAATAAGGAATATTAGAAGAGGAGACTAGAGTCCATAGAAATACAATTAGGAAATAACTGAAATTCAGAATTAAAAAATAAGAAATATTAGAAGAGGAGACTGGAGTCCATATAGAAATACAATATGGAAATAATTGAAATTCGGAATAAAAATAAGGAATATTAGAAGTAGATTATAGAGTCCATATAGAAATACAATTAAGAAATAACTAAAATTCAGAATTAAAAATAAGGAATATTAGAAGTAGAGTATAGAGTCCATATAGAAATACAATTAGGAAATAATATATATTTGGAATTAAAAATGGAATATTAGAAGTAGAGTATAGAGTCCATATAGAAATACAATTAAGAAAAAAATAGAAATTCGGAATTAAAAAAATAAGGAATATTAGAAGTAGAGTATAGAGTCCATATAGGAATTTAAAACTAACTAAAATTTGGAATAAACATAATAAAATTAAAATTAGAGTTTAGAATCCGTATAAAAATACAATTTACAAATAACTAAAATTCAAAATTAAGAAAAACATGGGAAGAAGAGTTTAAGGTCAATATAGAAATACAATTTAGAAGTAACTGAAATTCAAAATTAAAAATTAAAGAATATTAAAATTCAAAATTTTAAAAAGAAATATTAAAAGATGAGTCTAGAGTCCATATAGGAATATATATAATTTAAAAATAACTAAAATTTGATATTAAAAATAATTAATAACTAACACGTATATAAAATATAATATGTAAATTCAGAAATAAAAATAAATAATATTAAAAGAAGAGTATAGAGTCTATATAGAAATACAATTTACAGAAAATTCGGAATTGAAAAAAAGAAATATTAAAAAGACGAGTCTAGAGTACATATAGGATATATACGAATAACTAAAATTTGATTTTAAAAATAATTAATAACTAACACATATATAAAATATAATATGAATATTACACATTAGTAGTTTTGTAAACTTATTGCAAAATTTAAAATTATGTTATCATTTTAATATATTTAAATAATATAATGAGAAAATATATATATATACTATTATATGAGAGAAAAATATAATAATGCTAGACGCGTAATTTGCGTGGGCCACCATGCTAGTTAGAATATATGGCAAGAGCTAGCTTAATATCTCGATCGCGATCTGCTCCAAAAATATGCAGTGCTCTTGTTAGTTACATATGGTTGGATAAAGTACCGTTTAGCATGCATGTAATAATAGTGACTAGCTAGCTAAAGAGAACGCGGTTGCTTGCCATAAGTGATGTGATGTCTCATTTTGCTTTGTTAAGACAAGCATTACACTCTGAACTGGTAGCATGTAAGCATCACCACGAAAAGATTATCTGGCTTCTTTTCTTTTCGTTCTGTGAACACAGATCGACGAGTTTAACAACGGTAGGTAGATGCAAGAACTTTGCATGCATTTTTCTTTAATTACCAAATGACATTTCAACTTACCCATGCATGCATGCAGATGCATATGGGTGCATAAATTTGCATCTATATCAGCTGTGGTAGCTGTTAGCGCATCATGGATGTCATCGTACATTCATGGAGGTGCAAGTGGCATGTCACTCTTGGTTTCTGCTATGCCGAGCCATTTCGACAAGACGACAAGAGATATATCAAATATATATACTACTCCCTCCGTTTTAGATTATAAAACGTTTTAACTTACTGTTTCAAATTTAACTAAGTTTATAGGCAAATATACTAATATTTATAATACTAAATTAGTTTCATCAAATCAATAATTGAAAAATATTTTCATAATAAATTTGTCTTGGGTTAAAAATGTTACTCCCTCCGTTTCGGGTTATAAGACGTTTTCACTTTGGTCAAAGTTAAACTGTTTTAAGTTTAACTTAAAACGTTTTAACTTACTGTTTCAAATTTAACTAAGTTTATAGACAAATATAGTAATATTTATAATACTAAATTAGTTTCATCAAATCAATAATTGAAAAATATTTTCATAATAAATTTGTCTTGGGTTGAAAATGTTACTCCCTCCGTTTCGGGTTATAAGACGTTTTCACTTTGGTCAAAGTTAAACTGTTTTAAGTTTAACCAAGTTTGTAGAAAAAATAGTAGCATTTTCACCCCAAGACAAATTTATTAGGAAAATATATTTAATTATTGATTTGATGAAACTAATTTAGTATTATAAATATTACTATATTTATTTATAAACTTAGTTAAATTTAAAAAAGTTTGACTTTGACCAAAGTCAAAACGTCTAATTACCTAAAATGGGTGGTGTACTATTTTTTTCTACAAACTTAGCCAAACTTAAAATAGTTTAACTTTGACCAAAGTCAAAACATCTTGTAACCTGAAACGGAGGGAGTATCGAGTATCGTATATGTAGACCATTCCTAGCTAGTTTTACTTTTTTTTTAAGTTTGATTAAGGACATGCAGCTCCTAATTTTACTTGTGTACTAAGCATGGCATATATACTACTACCAGTCGAGATCATGTCGATGTTTCTCAAGGATTCCATGCTTTTCTGCGAGACTGATCACCTACACAGCTACACGTCGTCCGTTGGGGCATCGCTTTTAGACGAGAAAGGAGATTATCGATGTGGCTACGTGTTTTTACCTTTACCATTGTTTAACTTGCTGCGTCGAGAGTGTGGTACTAACACTAGCTAGATAGAGCTAGAAATCAAGCTGTATATATGAGCGAATTATACAGTACAAAGCACTAGTAAATTAAAGAGGAAAAACGAGCATATATAGGGCCGTATTTTGCTGCATTCCGATTATTGTTTCAGTTCGCTAGCTACCTTTTCTTTCTTTCTTTCTGTTTTTTTTTCTTTTTGCAAGAGTTTCAGTTAGCTAGTTACGTACTGTGTGTGTGTATATATCAGAGATATATCTCTGTGTTGAAATCCATAGTATAACCAGTTCCCCGTCGAATTAATTGTGTCGGACACCTGATATGTACATACTAATGTACTAGAGATTTATAAGATGTGGTAGGTCTGAATAAACTCTGAAGAAGATGGTGATGGATCATCGTGCGGGCTAATATCGACAGGTGCATGACCATTCAGAAGCATGCAGTGCTAGCTCCATTGATCAGGAGATATGCAAAATAAAACGACACACACGCTGCTTTCATTAGTTGATGCACTACGACCTAATCCACCATTTTTAAAAACCAAAGTGGACGTGCTAGTGAGAGAGACAAAAGGGAGATCGAGAGAGTGAAAGAAACCAACCAATTTCCTACGTGCTACCTGAAGACGATATGTACCTAGAAACTTGGCGAGAAAAAGGCTGCTCATGTTGCTTAGCCTCCAAACATATCGATCTCTGGTTCTTGATGCAGGGCCCTTTTGGATGTGACAAATGGCCACGAGGTGGCTTTGGGCATGTCAATTGTCGATGCAATCAAGTATGCTAATCGAAGACCATGGCTGCCACGACGTCACGAGGACGTCGCTGTGTTTTCTTTGCTTGCAGGTTTTGATGTGTGCACAGTGCACTGCTGCAAGTATCAGAATCAGATGGTGCTGTCCATGAAGCAGCAGTGGAGCACTTGACAGTACTACGCACTTCCATGAGAAAGACTGCAATTGTGCATTATAATTTTTTACTTTATCAGAGTGGAGCAAGACATTATTGTTGGAGTAGCAACTAGCAAGCAGTAAAGCTGTTGTTAGCAGCCTTTAGTTTACCTATAACTACGTCAGCTGGTGTTTCCTTCACTAACACAAGTAAACATACTAGCATCCCAAGAACCTGATTAGTCGGTAGTAAAAATTAGACAGGGAAACCGGCCTAACTAGTTAAGTTCTTCCTATATGTCCATTCCAGTTTCTCTAGTTTGGGTGCTATAAAACCAAAATCTTTATCTTCCAATGCTACATTTTTTTTTCTTTGATGGAATAGTGAATGGCATTGTTAACGTTGCAGAGGAAGACAAGGAAGCTAGGGGAGTTGTGAGGCCGTGAGGAAGTTTTGGGATGACGTGACCACTTGCAAACCCACATTGTAATCAGAGGCCTGTTCTTGTGCAGAATGCCACTTTGTCAACTTCCCAAAGGAAGCATTCATCAGGTTAAAGAGTAGTAATGTTGTTTTTTGTCAGTCTAGACCACTGAAATCATGGACTTCTCCATCTCATCTCAGGCCACCGATATGAATCATATGATGCCTTGGGCACCTCCATCAATAATTTCACTCAAGCAGAGGAACTGATAGTGAGTCGAATCTCACTATAGGCTCACAACAAGATTCCATCCATACACTTAAACATTTTAGTCAACAGTAGTATTTGCCAATGAAGAGATGTTTTTGGTTGTCTTGCACTTCAGCGACACCAGACCGTACAGCATGTGGCAGCATCAATACCTATCTTTAATAATACTCCCTCTATCTATAATATAAGACGCGGTCAAAGTTGTCACGGTCTCTAAAACTAATATTTAGTTTTTATTGTCTCACATACTGTAAGCTTTGTAGCAACAAAATTATAATCATATGAAAGTAAATTTAAATCTCAATCTAATGATATGATTTTTAACAAATAAAATTCATTTCATATTATACTAAGTGTTTTAAAGGTTAAATCTTGAAATGCGTGCGCGCCTTACATTATGGGATGGAGGGAATACTACAGTACAAACCGAACTATCAGGCCCTAACATTTGATTAGCTAGAGCCCAAATGTATCGGCCTGCCTCTTACTCCCAAAAATAAATCATCTCTTAGAGTTCAAACTTTGAACCAAAATAAATCAACAGTATGAAAAGTGTAGTTTATGTTCCACTGATGCCTAACTTCACGGCTGTAGAGCTAGAAACAGGACCAAAAGGGCCAATGAGTTAGCCGCGGGTAAATAAATATAACTGTAAATGCAATATTTCCATCACGCTAAAGCATTTATATAGTTTAATTTGGATATACATGCTAGTGTTTCATAGTATGAAAAGTGAATATACGCATTTGTCTACGCTAGAGTAGCCAGACGGCCCCACACATTCACCAAGTGAATTAGGATGGCTCATTCCAAAAGTTAAGGCTACAAAATCCAGCTAACGTTTCAAGGAGTAGCTCTTCCCACTAAATGCTTGGAACTTGGGCTCGTCCTTCTTTGGAGACTCATCATCCTTAACGGAAGCCTGTTCACAAAAAAAAAAAAAAAAGAATCAATAACTAGTCGGCATATCCATAATGCAGGCAGCATAAACATGTCATTCCACTCAATCAAAACTCTGCTCACTAACTAGGAAAGCAACTGACAGAACAAAAAATATCTAAATATATTTGAGTTCTAGATCATAGATGAATCTAAGTTCCGGCTAGCATCCTCTGTTTGTCGCCCAAAAGGCCAATACATAGAATTTATAAGGTTAACCCTTCAATTAGCTGGCCATCCTGGCCGGTGATTCTGTGAACATATGCAGAGAAAACAAGCTCATCATTCTTGCAAATTTATTCACATTTAGTAACGCATTTATTAGATTAAAAAAACAGATTCAGTAGGGAAAAAATGAAGCATGAAAAGAAGGGAAAGGAGGGTGTTCAAGTGCGAGAAAAATGTAATACCTTTTGCGGTTCTTTGTTGTTGTTTGCACTTGAACCGAAAACAAGCTTTCCTGATTTCTGGCGTGTGGAGTTGCTAGCTCCTGAAGATGCTGGTGCTAACGTTTCCTGATTCACCCTTTTGTTTGAGTCTGAAGGGGAAGAACGTGAGGCAGAAGGGACCTCTGTTGCTTGTAGCTTTGAGGCTTTACCATCCAGCCGCTTTCCAGAACCAGTAAACGGCTTGAATTTCAGTTCATCTTCAACTTTAGCATTTTCATCTGGTGGGAAGGTCGCCAAAAGGATAGTTTTAAAAGGAGAAATTCAAAAATGCCACCACTACACACCTTGGCAGCTGGAATCTTGTATTGAATGCACTTGATAAACATATGCAAACATGCATGTGGAATACATGTTAACAGCGCATATTTTCTTTTATAGAAACGTTAACATTGCAGATCGTTCACACTTGATATGACGAAAATACACCTTATATAGAATTTCAATACATAAGCATGAAAAAGAATGAATTTTTTTTATGTAGTTTTAGCCAGGCAAGCCAAATATGACCGGCTGAATTTTAGTAAGAAAGAAGCAAACCATAGAATACAAGTTGACAGAAAGGCTGACAACCCAGTAAACAAACTAGTAGCATACAAGAAGTTGACAGAAAGGCTGTCAACCCCAAAACCAAGCAATCCAGAACAGTGCCACTTCACACCACTGGACAGAGTGCTTGACGTCTTTGATTCAAGCATGTCTTCCAGTTCTAGTTTTCCTTCTATTGTTCTTTGTTTAACTTATGTTGCAGTTTACTATGCAAAATACAGGACTATGGGAGTAGATGAAAATACTAGTTCAGGGTGTGGAGTACATGCTCCCAGATGGCAGCACACTTGAAAAATTGCTATAGAAGAGGAGGATAAAATTCAGCCTTTCAATACAAGTTCATCTGAAAACTAAAGTGCACTTAATCTAAAGACAAACCTTCAGCAGTTGCCTCACTTGCAGGAACTGATGGTTGCTGCGGATTTTCAGGTTCTTTGTAATCAAGAGGAGGTGCAAAGTCCACTTCACAGTCCGTCTCAATAATACTAACTGCGGAAGCAGGTTTTGTTTCAACAATGTCAATGTAGTATTGTTTGTTGTTGTAAGCTACCATGATACTATCGCCGGTGGTTAAACAAGAGAAGTTTCTTAGTGTTTTCTCCAGGCTGCAATGTCACAAAGCAAAGCATTATCATTAGAATGATGATTTCCCCAAGAAACGGAATGGTTTTAATATGGAGCGTTTTTATCATATCCTCACATGGCCTTCGGATTTGAGATGTCCAAAAAGTCAGTTGTGTGAGGCTGCAACTTGACATATGTACCCTTGGGAAGGGTTGTATTTTTTACACGGACAGTGTCACCCTCTTGAAGAAGCATGTTTTGCATCATCTGCACATATATGAAAGAATTATAGCATAAATCAGTCAATATGTTTCTTTGGAATATAATTGCAGATATCAGTAAAGAAAATCCACTGCATATTACATACCCAGTAGGGCATGATGATCATGCCTTCTTCTGCCACAAATTCCAGCACACCACAGTGTGAAATCCGCTGAGTTGCATCATTATGCAACTCAAACAGCATAGGATATTCAATGTGCAGAGAAGCTGTTAGAGGAGCCAAAACAATTAATGTAAATCTAAGGCCAGAGTATAAAAGAGCTGAGATTGAGCTTACCAAGCCGATCAAGAGCAGATGGTGGCATAATTACTGCATTGATGATGATAAAATATAATGTCAGTGGCATGCGGTTTGAATTGTTTGTGTGTGTGAGAGGAGGGGGGAGGGGTCTGAAGACATACCTTTGTCGCCACCTTCCAGGTGTGGCTGAAGAAATGAAGCAAAAAAAAAAAAGGAAAAAAAAGACAGTTAAATCCAGTTCATCATGTAAAAGGATAAAACAATGCTAGATATTTCAATAACAGCACAGGGGAGAAGGATACCTTGTCAAAGAAAGATGCTGGATAACAACGGTATGTTTGCTCAAAGTTACTCCCATGGTAGCCATATCCTGCATAAAACTGCAGAAGCAAAAATAAAAGGATTAGTTAAGCTTATGCCAATTACATAGTGCAACCTGAAAAGACAAGCATCACACACACAGAAGAATAAGTAGTGATTTTTATCTTTGGCATCTCTTAAATTGAAAAGCTCAGTAGAAAGGTAAGGATGAGGAAGGAACGAAACATAAGATATACAAAGTTACAAACAGGACTGAAAAATAGAAATGCAAACACCAGAGGGAATTTTATTGCAGTGTGATGTTGCTAGGGGATAATCTCAGGAAAACATTGTGTATTGTGTGTACACTATGAACTTCATTTTTGGGGCTAACTATTCCATAGTTCAGCCAGCAATAATACACCAGGAAGTTCCAGTATTTTTAAACATGTAGCAATGACTAATATATTTCAAATTCCAAAGAGATCCTTTCTGATAAGACTAGTTATTACCTGCTCTTGTTCCACTTGATCCCCTTAGACAACATGAGAGTACACATTTCCTTTAGGTGTAAACATGAACTTTCAACATATATTAGGTGATTTCTCTAGTCTAGAAGAAATTCCACATGCGGGAGAAATAACCCAGCAAGCATAATATACATGCACCAAATTGCGACACAAAAAATCAATAAATTTTAATGGCAATAACAAGTGATGCATACCATTTTGCTGCAGGTCTTTGCCTCAACTTCTCCCAGGCTCGTAACCTACGAAGGATGGAAAAGCGAAAAGGTGGCTATTTAATCTGTGGTAGAGGATGTTACTATGTACTAAGCAATAGGGTGGAGCAAAAGATTAAAAAAGCTAATGTAACAAAGCAATTAGGGGTTGTAAGCACGAAATATGATAACTATATGCCTAGAGCAAGCCTCTGCATTGCAGCTGCTGGTGGTGCATAGACACTGAGGGCCATTCTTGAGCAGTCTGCTTGCTTATAAAACAAATTTCATTGAAAAGACAAAAATAATACAAAACCATTCGATATCACATAGCCTCACCATCAGAGCCACAGAACTTCTCAACACTCTGCACAATCCAGATTATCCATTATCTAAAAAAAAAAAATCAAGCCAGGGGAGGACCTAACGTGGGGGCATGAGGGCTTAGTTGAACCCCCCAAATTTTCTTGCGAACAAACTAAGCTGTTACTGGTACTAGGGTTAAGACAAAAAGGCTTCCGGATCTAGAAGTGAAGTGAAGGTAGGGCTAACGGCTAACGCAAGTAAAAGTGTGGCTAGAGAGAGATGAGAAAGAGGATGCGCGTAACAGATGGATTGCTCACCAGCGAGCGAGGATGCGGCGGAAGCAGCAGACGCCGGCGGCGATGGAGATCGACGCAGGCGAGGCGGCGGGCGAACTCGCCGAGGAGACGTCCGGGAGTCGAGGCGACAGGCGAGAGGAAGGGGGGGGGGGGGGGGGGGCTATCTCGCACCGGCACAAGTATATGGGCCAGGAAAGCCCACTTGGGAAGTGGAACGGGCTGCAGGGCCCAATTGTTTCCGGCCCAGTTGGTAATAGGTTAGCCTGTGTCAGCCCATGTACAACCTGAAAGAGTCAAAAGACACAAAGTACATATGTCGTTTTATGTTGTGTCTCCTGAAAAGAACAAGATGCGAATGCAATAGGACGTGCTTCCAATTTCCAAGTTTCCAAGATGATCTAGAGTACACCATACTAGACTTGGTTTTGGAATTAGGAGCTAGTGGCGCAGAAAGGTTTCAAACTACTGAAGAAAGTAGGGCAGCAATGATGCAAAGGTGTGTGTATGGTAGGAAACAATGCTCAATGAAACAATAATTGAGCATGCAACAATATGAGAACTAGGAGGACATAGATGTCTGTTCTCTTCCATGACTGGAGTAGATTGTAAATGTACTGTTTTACATGGGCCATTTCATCTTTCAAGAGATTCCAACGTGAGCATTTCAAGCTTGGATGTAGGCCGGGACAGGGCGAGATGGGAGAGTAGTAAAAACACTCTAGCTTGAATCTGTGAAATTGTGACAACAGAAGTATGCACATGCCGAAACATAAATGTCGTCTGTGTTCCATCCAGAATTGTATATAGTACTGTTGCAATCATGCAGAAAGCCAGTGTCCCCTGGTTACAGAGGAAAACATGCTGCCAAAGTGATTTCGGTTCCACCAGTCCGTGAGTGAACTCAGTAGTTTACTCCCCTGCAGCAAAAATTTACAGTGCCACTGATTGCACGGGCTGGTGGCTCCCCAATAATTCAGCATGCGGCATGCAGCCTTTTCTGTACCTCTACAGCAAAATTTACAGCATTCTGCAGAGTTTCAGTGCAAATTTCACGCCTGGTGTTGGTGGTCTTTCTCTCTGACCACCGTTGCAGCCAGAATACATGGTCAGTTATCCTCCCCCATTCTGTTAGCACAAGTTTACAGCTATAGTAATTAATCTTCCCTGGTGCTCTACGGTGATGTATGCGCAAACGCAACAGGATGGCCGAGTTGCCAGTTGGTGCCTTGCCTCGTGTTGTTTTATACATGCCACATGCTACTTGTTCAGGATTTATTCAGGTCTAGGCACTAGGATAGACGACTATTGATGCCATCTTGTTGACAAGACGCCATGGGTTGCATTCTCTCCCCCTACTCACGGCCTCTCTCTGCTCAGGTTAGAAGTATCGACATCCGGGATTGCTAATGCCTAAACTTTGATGTGGTATCCCGAGTTACAGGCAGGTCTACACGCTTGAGGACAAGGTGAGTCAGAGATCAAAAGGAGAGGAATCGTAGACTCGTAGTGCGCGCTAATTGTGCAATTCTTGCTTGGCTGTTGACTACTACAGTACTTGCGCCGAACCTGAAAAACGGTGTGAGCTTTTCAAGTGTGTTCGTGCAGTCGCGCAGTGCTGCGTGTGATCATGGCAGCCTGCACTTCGTCATCGTATCATGCCAATCTGCCCGTGCCCTCCCTGACGAAGAAAATTTCAGTGCGATGATCTGGATTCCGAAATGTAGCAAGGGCCCCTGCCGCCTGATGCTCGTAAGAAATTACTATTCCGGAAAAACAAGCAAGCAGCATTGAGACACAGGGAAAGAGGGGCTGACTGTATTCCATGATTTCCATCTCGGCCAAATTGAAGGCTCATTCACTGCTATACATTGAGATGGTCTATCCACGAACGTCGTGCTCTTCAGTGTACGTTACGCACCTTGAAGTCCATGATTTAATGCATTTATGTACTGATATAACGCAGGTGCTAATTATTACTCAATGGCGCACATGACCGGATTCAGGAGGTAAAGAAAAGTATTAAGGGGGCCTCTGGGGCTCAAACCAAGTACAGTGGTACCAAGATCTCCTCAACTGCCAAGCAAACGTTCAGCATTGCTGGCCAGTCAAGCCTATAATACACTGTTTCAACCATTTCTTTCTCCAATTGACAAAGAAAAACAAGGTGACCACAGAGTAATATATATCCATTCATCCGATAGATAGGTAGGGTCCCCAACTAATCATACAGTGGATAAAACAAGTGCACAGAGTATTTTGGATGTACTACTGCTAGATACTGCCATACACAAATCATTCCATGCAGAGGGGAAAAAAAGATTTAACGGCTAGTAGTATGAAGCATCATTCATCCCCCACCATCCTCTTGAACCAATTGGGATAACAAAATACAGACAAGATGTACATCACAACATTACAAAAGATCTAAGCCCATGGTAAAAAATGGAGATTAATAAAAGACAAGATCCGAAGAAGCCAAGCAGGCCCCCCTACACGAAATCAATTTCCTAGAGAGAGAGAGAAGGGAGTACAGGGTACAGAGCAGCCAAGAACAGATGGAGCATCAGTAGCCGTTGCGATGGGGAACCCCACATGCGCGAGTCCACGACGCCACCACCACCAACCTCCTCCTCCGCAACATGCCGCGCAAGCATCAGTCCACATGGTGATTTGCTTCCCCGGCAGCCACTGACACCTCCACTAACCGCGAGATTAGGAAGGGGCTCAACGGCTACTTTCCCACTTGGGGCCAAGCCTCTGGTCTGCTTGGCGGGAAATGCAGGTGTTCTTGCTCCCGGGCTCACATGTCAGTTTTGACCCCGCGGCTGGATGAAGCTAAGACTAATCTGAACTAAAGAAGAAAGAATTAGCGGAAAATGGATGGAACAACACTAGTGGACTGGATCGGGTGATGCCGCCGGCCGAGGGGAGCCGGCGATCACGCCGGGGATGGCTGGGAGGTTGGGTCGGCCGACGACGGGATGTCCGGGCCGACGCGGCAGCCCTCGAGCATGAACACCACGTCGCCCATGGCCGGGCGGTCCAGCGGGTCGGGCGCCGTGCAGAGGAGGCCGACCTTGATCCCGAGCAGGAACTCCTCCCACTCCGACGACTCCGGGTCCAGCTCCAGCAGGCCCGGCTCGAGCAGCTCGGCCACCGCCCCGCGCTGCAGCTGACGCTTCACCCACTTCACGATGTCTTCGTCCTCCCCGGCGAACATGCCGGGGCGCCGGCCGGTGAGCAGCTCGAGCAGCACGATGCCGAAGCTGTAGACGTCGCCTTCCCGCGTGGCCTGACCCGCGGCCGCGGCGTCCGGGGCGACGTAGCCGAGCGAACCGACTGTTGTTGTAGCTGACGTCGATGCAGCCGCCGCAGCAGCGGCAGCACCAGCCGTCACCACCATTGGCTCCAGCCCGAAGTCGGACAGGTGCGGCTCGAAGTCGGCATCGAAGAGGATGTTCTGCGGCTTGACGTCGCCGTGCACGACACCGGACTGGTGGAGAAAAGCAAGGCCGCGGGAGACGCCGAGGGCGATCAGGTGCCTCATTGGCCAATTGAGAATGTGTCCGTCTTGGTGCGACGCTTCCTGCAGCAACGTGGCGAGGTTGCCGTTGGGCATGTAGTCATAGACCAGCAGCCGAACATCTGGCGGCGGCCCGGCGTAATAGCCACGGAGCACAGTGAGGTTCCTGTGCTTCACCTTGCCGAGGGACTCGGCCTCCTTCCTGAACGAGCCCTCCTCAATCACCACGGCGCCATCAGATGAGGTGGAAGGAAGCCGTAGGATCGCCAGCACGGTGCCGTCATTGTAGCAAGCCTTGAACACGAGACCATGGCGGCCTCGGCTAAGCACATTCTCCTCATCGAACTGCCTCGTCGCCTCCACCGTGTCAGCATAGGTGATCCGGGAATTGAACATGATCAGCTTCGGCTGGCTGACACTGTCTGTGCTTGTGCCGCTCGACCCGCTGCCCCGTCCCGGGCTGCGCCGCCTCTTCTTGACACCATCTCGCTTCTCAATGAACCGGCGCCTCCACCGCAGCAAGCTGTACACACAGCAGCAGCAGAACAGCACAAGCAGCAGCACGGTAGCAGCCACCACACCAATCAGCAGAGCGAGGCGCTGCAGCCTCTGCCGCCTCCGATGCTGCCGGTACGCACTGCATTCGTTCTCCAATGGCGGACCGCACAGGTTCGGGTTGGAAGCAAACACTGACGGGGTGCCAAAGCGGGAGCCAAGCATTGCCGGTATCTCTCCGCTGAGCTCATTTTGTGACACATTGAGTGATAGCATGCCTGGAATTTGAGCCAATGAAGCAGGGATGCTGCCGGTAAGATTGTTGGACGACAGGTCAAGTGTCTGCAGCTTCGACAGGTTGGAGAGAGAGGCCGGTATCTCGCCACCAAGATGATTGTCATCAAGCTTGAGAGTGACAAGCGATGAGCAGTTTGAAATCTCTGGAGGTATCTTGCGGGACAGCTGGTTGTGGCTCAGGTCAAGCTCCTCCAATTCGCCGAGGCGCGCAAAATCACCGGGGATTGGGCCAGTCAACTGGTTGCTCCTGAGATCAAGCACGGTGAGGTTGGAACAGTTGGCGAGCTCCACAGGCAGCTCACCGCAGATGCGGTTGTGGGAGGCCGAGAGCACCTGGAGTGATGGCAAGTATCCATAGGTAGCCGGCATTGAGCCTGTGAATGAGTTCACCGAGAGGTTGAGGTGGCGCAGACTCCACAGGCTGCTGAACCCCTCCGGAACATCACCGGAGAAAGAGTTTCCGGCGAGCGACACATACTGCAGCTGTGGCAAACCGAAGAGCTCTGCCGGGAGATTGCCCGAGAGGTTCTTCTGACCAGAGAGGTCAAGAACTCTCAGGTTCAGCAGGTTGCCAATGTTGGACGGAATGCGGCCGGAGAAGGAGTTGCCGCTCAAATTTAAACTCTGCAGAGCGGCCAGATTGCCGATGGAAGGAGGGATCTCCCCGGCGAGCTTGTTGTCGGAGAGGTCCAAGAATGTCAGATTCCCCAGCACGAAGAGCTCACTGGGCAAATCGCCGGTGAGCCGATTCCCCGGTGTGGACAATGCTTCCAGCCACGAGAGGTTGCCCAAACTGGCCGGAATCTGGCCGGAGAATGAGTTACCGCCAAGAT